TGGAGTCCCAGGGACCACATGTTGATCCATGAGACCCTTTCGTGCACTCACACTGGAAACACAACGATAACAGAGAAGATCAGTCTGCTGTAATGCACTCAAACTGCACTCAGTGCCTCAAGAAAGTCATCTGAACCGACTGCATGAAGCTGTGGACTCCACAGAGGGAAGAAATCTACAACTTACACAGTGTTACGAAATAAATATATATTCTTAGTGCTTATTTTCTATTTATATTGTTTTATAGAGGCCAGTGTAGGAAAACGCCACTTTGAGTTATATAGTGTGTAAAAGGTCACAGAGTCCTGACAGGAAACTCTGCACGCTTTGTGTAGAGAACAGGAAGCGGTGCAGACAGAAAAGTGAAACTAGGCAGAGTGCACTGCAGAGTTGTTTTGATCGAAACTATGTGTGACTATGTGTGACTATGTGTGACGTATGACTGATTATGTTATGCTCGTTTTGGCTTGTGATGCTTCAGACCTGTGGATGCTGGCTAGCGTCTGCAGCTCTCCTTTTCCGGGAATGTAGAATAAAGATGATTTTGTGAGCTTTGACCACACTGAGTCGGTGAAAGAATTTAAAAGAAGCGGATTTGATAACAGCAAAAACAGATTCAGCTCAAATATTCAGACAAATATTTACTTTCAAACGAGAAAACTGTGCATGCATGTTTATGTGTGTATTTATAAATGTACACATCAACATAATTTTCATCACAGTAAAAATGTTACACAGAGCAAAGATCTTACTTTTTCAGTGGGGCCTTCCCCTCTTCAACACCCACTACAACCTCCTTTATTATAGGATTCAAATAAATCAAAGAGCATGTGATTAAATAAGAACTGAAGAAGAAAAAACATGACATATCAGGCTGTCCCTTTCTCCTTTTTAGAGTCCAGCAAAACATGTTTGCACTGGTTGCTGTTTGAGAAAATAATCTGTATAACTTGTAAAGTTTTTACAAGACACTTCTCCTTCTCTTTGCAATCTCCAATTCTGGTTTGCAAAAGTCTGAAAGTGTGTGAACTTACAGTCTTCTAAATGTGACACCTACAGAATGTGTTTGAGTTAGCAGCTAAGGCTAAAACAGCTAAATCAAACATAAACATGGTTACCATAGTTATAATAATAAACTTTATAATGTGTTGCTAACATTTTGGTTGTTGTGATGATTCAACTTTGTTCAGTAAACTTCATCAAAATGAACACGTGTCGACAGAAGCATATATTTGGATCTCACATCTTCTTATTAAATGAAGCTATTGTCAAATAAACTGAAATCTGGGACTTACCCAAACTAATATTTCATATATTACTTCAACTTACTAATTTAATTAATGGGTTTGTTTCAAATTATTACGTAAAATAAAAAAACCACCATGCACATATGCAAATAACAGTAGCCAGCTGCTGCCACAAGATGGCAGCAAACTAAAGGTTCACAGAGAGATTTCTTTACTTTGGGACATTTAATCAATGTGTATTATTACACTTGATTAAATGTTAGAGGATATAGATGAAGCACGAGAGAAGAATGTATGAAAGATTGTATTGAAATGTGCTGGAGCTGTATGTGAGGCATTCAGGGAACATCGGTCATTTATGTGGCGAGAAATCTGTCTCAAAAGTGTTACAAATGAATATAGTATGATCCACAAATATAAACTAAGATTTAACAAATATGTGCAGTGATTGATGTGCTCTCAGGCATGTGCTTCAATCCACACACAAATACAAAACAATCTGACCAGACGTACAACTGTTTCACAAACTCAATCAAAAAACAAGAACAACGCTAAT